TTAATATTAACGATTCTAATTCGATTGATTATTCCCCAAGTTCAATTATTGGGTGCCATATCAAAGAAAAGACCATTATCTGAATCTTCCATTTTTAAGTAACATAGTCTCGATGTTGTTTGCAACTGTTGCCTGAATCGCTTTATACCGCATTTCGTTTGGTTGGAAGTACACATATTAAGTCGCCCCATACAAAATGGTTATTTGGATCAAAAATCCTTAATCAGTTTAATTTCAATGGATTAAGGAGACATTTTTCTCGATTCAAGACTGTTTTATAAATAGCAAGCTTTAATGAGGGCTTTCTTGAACCTGGCTCTTTTCCTGATTGGCACGAAGACAATAAAAGCTATGAATTTTATTCCGATTAATATATGCGTTATCACTATCACGTTCTCGACTACACAACGGACAATGGGAGAAGGTTGTGCGTGTTAATAGAAATGTGGTGGGAAAGGCGCCAGTTGGATATGAAAGATTATATCCCTCAATTTTAGTTTCTTTGAATAACTTTTTCACCAATTCGAATTTGGCTTCACTATCTGTAATACGAATTTTTACTGGTTCCAACTCTTTCTACAACTGCGGATCATGAAATTAAAGACAGTACTTTTGGGTATAATGCTTTCTTTATTCACCAGAATCTTTGGCGAACGCAATATTCGCAAGGAGAATAATCTTCTGTTTAGCAATATTATTCTTGTTCTGTAGAGATGGAGGGGGTTTATTACGTACAAGCTCGGGGAACAAAGCACAGGCCATAATATTTTTAAGTCTCATGCCAAAAGTTGAGATATGGAGAGACATTTCACTACTCTCAGCAATAGTCGAGGTGAGATAATCCCAATCTGGGTATACCTCCAAGCCTACTTCTTTGAAAGCACGACAAAGAAGAGTGTACACTTTTACGTGTAAGTTTGGGTTCGATACTATTTAATGTCTCTTGTGATATAAATCGAAATCGATAAATGGAGTGGGTCATCTCCACCAATAAATTCATGTAATGAGTGCCCCACGACCTGACAGTATAGCCACTATTTTCATCTTCGGTATCTGTACCAAGAAATTCTCTTGGATGCACACTATTATCGCAAATTTTATAATTATATTCGGTTACGTCCTCGGCTTTATGCCCACTGTGGTAAAAGGCGCCATCACCATTATTTTCGAGCTCGAGCTCGGGGTCAGAAGCAACAATGTTTTGCATTTGGTAGTGTTTTGGGGTATCCTTTTTTTTTTTGCTACATATTATATAATTAAAATAAAAATTACTCCGAAATATATTATTCGGGAAAAAAATGTTTAAATAAAAATTAATCTACAATGTATTAACCGATACATATTATACAATTGATCTATCGTTGTATCATAAAAGTATGGCATTTTATTTCTGTCCTTATGTAACCGGGGCTGTTATAGACCTGCAGGTTGTCAAGTCCACCCCAAACGCGTATCTTGTAAAAAATGTGGTAAATTGACTTTTTCTAAATATGGCGCATACTAGAAAGCATCGAAATGGAACAATACTACCGAAAAAAACTAGAGGAAATGACGCAAAATGGGTTTAAAGCAAATACATAGTGATATGACTTGAAGATACCACCCCCTAAAGGGCCTGGTTTTAGATGCAAGGCAAACCTGCTCTATGGTACCATCGCGAGTCAAATAGAAAATGAATATGCGCTTCATGCGTAAGTGGTACCACAGCGCAGAGTCGGGAAAAAAAATAATAAAATTTTGCTACCAGTGACAAAAAATTTTCGGTAGATTTTCCCCGAATTCAGAAGATTAGAACCGTTTCGAGGCAACTGTCACCAGATCACCAGTATCGCTAGTTTCTCGTAACTTTTCGTCTTTTTTTTATTTACGTGTCACACAAATATCTCTCCTCCGGCAAAAGTATGTTATCAGTTAGTTAGAAAAAGGTTTTTTTTTTTTAAATTTAACTTTTTAACCAGAGAAACTAGTGACAGATATATAAAGGTGGGTTAAAAAGAAACAAAACGGCTTAAACCACCCAAAACGCATAGAAAAAGTGTCACTGGTTTTTGCACACCAGTTAAATTTTTTAACTAGAGAAACAGGTGACAAACATGTCCGCACATTTGACGCCAATTAAAGGCGTAGAAAATATGATTAAGATGAGACGTCAAGAGCAGTGTGAGACTCGCTCCACGTGGATGCTTTCCAGCTGTATAGTATTCTTCATCGAAACTTAGATGCGTAAACGATATTGACCAGCAGTTATCTCTAGTCTATCCCAATTATATTCAATTCATAATTGGATACATTTCGCTACGGTCTGAGAATGTTTCCAAATCTAATTGCGAATTGTATCGCGAATATCTTACTTGGTGCAAAATTAGTAGCGCTTTGAGTAATAAAAACCGTTGCATAATATCATTCTAGGAAAAAAAATTACCGAAAGTCGGGTTCAAGTGCGAATAGGGATAGAAAAGAGAACGGCAATACGTTCTTACTACTAACAATTTTATCAGCATCCTAATTAAGAAAATAAACGATCTCGACTTGATTCAGGCAAATTCGTGTTAGACACTCTGACCCAACGATAAAACTCGAACAAACTAGAAAACTTTTGGAGCGTGCTCAGCTAGAGAGTCAACAAAAATTGCGGTTAATAACAGATCTGAACGATCAAATTGCGCAAATGCGGCAGCAGCTGACGAATCAGAGAAGTGAAATCGAATTATTGAAGACACGACTAGATAAAGCTCATGAAAATATGGCTTTCGTCTGAAATCTGTATGAAGAAGAACGAGGAAATATGAAAACCTGTTTATTTTTAAAATCAAATTAGCTTCGACGCCATTTATTCAAAGCTATAATCTTCAAACATCGGGACCAAGAGCTTGACCAGATTCGATCGCAGAATGTCAAAGATTTCGAACTTACCTAAGAAGCCATAGATTTCTGAATCCAGTGGATACTGGCAAAACCTGGGAAGAGAACATAAATTAAGCAAAGATTTGAAAAATTTCACCTATCTAGCAAAACAAGCTCGGCAAAGTTTCATTACTGAAGTATCTATAAACAAAAATCGTTCTCCTTTATTTACCACTTACGAAACAGGAAGCAAAAACACAGCGAAGTGAAGAAAATATGACCAAAGCTGAAATTCTGCTGAAGCTAGAGACTCTTTTTGAACAGCTCAATGAAAACGCACAGAAGAAATACTCCGGCTATCATTACGGTCAAAAAAGCGAAGTAAATTGTTAAATTTACCGGAAGAAATAAAGTGTCTGTTTAGTTTAGATAATAATATTAAACTTGACAGCTGAATATGAAGTATGACTTAATACAATATCACAATATCTCGCGTAATATAATTGTTTTTTTGTGGTTGTTACCACACAAAGTGAAGACAAATCCTCACTTCTTCTAACTTTATTGCCTGATTAACATGAAATTCTCCGAAGAAAGCTGAAAATGGTGATAGTAATTTCAAGCCTGGTCTAACCTATTGCATAAAGCCCGCACAAACATTACGCCCTCTTCTATACTCGTTGTGAGCGCATGAAGCTTCCTCTGTATATTTTCCTTTCGATTGTCCGCCTCTTCATCGTTGCTACCACCATCAGTACTGGATTCTTGCTGTTAACTGTTATGCTCGACATCAACCCACTTGTAATGTTTCATCTTGACATTAATATTAGTTATGGAACATTCGGAAGATGGGATTAGAATAATCTGATCGACATTTTATACTTGTTATGGGGTGATACGGCATGATTTCCAAAGAGGATAAAGAAGAGTTAGAAACTAAAATCAAATCTTTAGAAGCTCAAATCAAGCGACAAGGGCAAGCTTTCGAGACTAGCACGTGGTGATAATAAGGGTTTATCATCATGATAAACGGTATTCCATGCGCTGTCATTAGAATTGTCCACCTCTTCGATAAGCTTGCTAATGTCATTGTAAAGTGTATTTGCATCAGGACGCTTATCACGGTCAGCATCCCAACACCGCTCGGCAAGTTTCTTGTATTCCTTTGGTGCAGAATCAGGCATCGACGGTCGTAGTCCCTCACAAACACGTATTACCACCAAACATATGTCAAATGAAAAATCTCTAAATGGTGATTCACCAGTAGCAATCAAATACATAATGATACCGAATGAATACACATCAGATTTCTGAGTAAATTTGTAGGTATGGAAGACTTCCGGTGCAATATAAGGCAGAACGCCTCGAATGGTTGAATTTGACTCGCGTGAATTCACTGATTGTGAGAGACAAAGATCCCATATTAATGCGTAATCATCATGCATAACAATGTTGCCCCCATGAAGATCACAATGCACTAATCCCGCATCATGAATACATGTCAGCTGTCTTGCAATATCATTCAACTGCTGTAATTTCATTCTCCACGTCAAGTTGTTAATATTCCGATCTAAATAAGACATAAGATTGCCATTGTTAGCATATTGCATAACAATTATCCATTCTTTTGTTTCCGGGTCTTGTGTGACTCCATAAATTTGAAGGACATAACTGCCCCTGCTTGAGTACTTGGCATGGTTTCTGAACTATTAAATAAATAATAAATAGAGTCAGCTTAGATATCTATTTAATTAATACTACCAATCATTGCTTACCTCGGAAATAAACACTTCCGGCATTTCATCAAAATTTCGAAAACGTTTGAGTACAACTGTTAGTTGCATATCCTCTTCCGAATACTTTTTATACTTGGCAGTATAAACCATTCCGTAACCACCAGATCCAATCTCTTTGAGTTCATAAAAGTCGCTATACTGCATGTACTTAACACGTTTGTTATTTCGTATAATCCTGTCCATTATTGCATATACGTCGTAATAGAAAACTAAATAATATTCCCGAGTAGACGGCTCCTGAGTGATCCCAATTATCCAAATATTATCGGGAGTTAACATTTTGGGGTATTCCTCAATTAGCTATTTTTGAATAAACAGAATACGGTGTTATAACATTGGTTACTTAAGCGCAATTATCGACACGTGAAATAGTTTACCTGATGAAAATTATCGGTTTGTATTTTTTTGAGTATTACACGCGTCAATTCATTCCATTCTGCTATATGCGTGCATCCATGGCGTAATGATGTCATCTCTTGCACATTGGTCAATAGAGAGTATTCAATCCATTGTATATGCGCATCGTATTCACTCGTCATATCATCCCACGATTCCAGAATATGGCCCAAGGATTGGGTAGGGGCGGCCAAGGGGCCCCGATCATTCACTGGACAATTTTTCAACCTCTCGTAAACATTTGCGCAAGAGGGCCGCTTATCGGGATCTTCATCCCAACATTCTGAATACAGGTTAATATAATCTTCAGGCGTTCCAGGGAATGGGGGATCACGAGCGCCCTCAAGTCTATACATGATAATATCGACGGGTTCAGTACGTCCTTCACATGGAACGTTTCCACTCGAAACTTCCCATAGTATTACGCCAAGACTGAATATATCGGATTCCTTTTTACGTCGATACAATTTGTTCTTTAAAGATATCGGATCTCTGCACCATATCCACGTGACTGGGACATAACTTGTTTCAACACAGTAGATAACCCGAAATCAGTTATTTTTGCGACGCCTGATTTGATAAGAATGTTACTTGATGACTAGAGAAATAACGTAAGGCTTCAGTTTACGCTGAATGTAAATGCAAGCGTTACAATCAACATGTGCGATAATTACCAAGTCCTTGTGAATAATGTCGAGTTCATGTAAATATTTTAGTCCATTAGTAATTTCTAAGCCCAGTTTGCATTTGTGTCTCCAGGTTAAATCTTTGAAGTGTTTGTTCAGATGTTCACGTAAAGTTCCACCATCGGCCAGTTCAAAAATCATGTGATAGATTTTATAGCCGTCTGTATGTGTTAAATAATAAATTGTTTATTCATAATAAGTCATGACATATTACCATCAAATGAACGCACCTTTATATACACCTAAAAAGCGAATAATGTTAGGATGGTTATTCGCTTCCGTGTGGTGTCTCAGCTAACATAATGATATTCAGTTAGTTTATAACAAAGTATAAACGTGCGGCGAGCGTAATGAAAGGTGATAACAACCTCTTTGACCAATGCATTGTGTAATTCTTCACAAGCTTCCGGTTTAACAGAATGTAATGTCTTCACTGCAACATTCATATAGCCGTCGTTTTCCTTCCTGACCGTTGCCGTATACACCGCTCCATATCCTCCAACACCAATACATCGTAAGTCCACATTTATGTCATTTTCTGGATAGCAGTAGATCGATCCTTCTTGAATTCTTGCCTCTAGCCATTCTTCGTACGAATTATTAGACATTGAACATTGAATGATATGCAAGCGGATGTTTCGTATGTGAGATGCAACTTTGTGTAACTTGATCAACCGTTTGTTGTGCTGTAATTGGGCACGAATGCAACCTTGTTATGAATTGTCCGGACATGAAAAAATTACGTTGCAGCTGACAAGAAATGTCTATGTGATTAGCCATTGATTTGACATTTATTAACATAATTATGCTGTAAATAGCAGAGTAGAAAATCCTGGCTATAGATATTGTTTTATATTAAAGAAATAGCTTCTATGAAGTTGAGGATATACGTTGGAAATTTTTATTGCTGCAAACTTATCTTTGGGATTAATTTCAAGAGGATAGATTTAGTGTTGGGATCATAATTAGTTTGTTTCGCTTTAGTAATTAGCGTTTGCAAGATTATCAATGTGGAGCAGAGCGTGATCCCAGCATTTGCAGTTTTATTGGCTGGAGTGCAAACTTGACCAATAAAATTGTGAGAGATCTGCTCCGCTTTAGACATACCCACTATGTGACTCTGATAATGGGCATTGAGCGATATTGTATACGAATCTTAGTCATATCGTAACTATATAGTGTTGGTGAAAGAAAGCAGATTGCCAAAGTCTACTTATACTAATGTATTTTTTTTCAAGGAGAGAAAAAATATTCCTTGACTGAAGTTGTCAAAGCATATAACGATAATAAAAAACATTGATATCAGTCGCCCCGCAATATATCTGAAGGCGTAAGAGGAGTTCGTACAACGTCAGATCGCTAGCAGAATACAAATGTTGCGTATTCACAGGCAAAAAGTACTACACTTGTATTTTAGTAGCGTCTATTCGACCTTTGTTGGGGAAAAAAGTTTATTCTGCGTCCTTATTATTATTGTTATTATTATATTATTATTATGGGAATGAGAATATCTAACTACAATCTAAGCACCATACAGGTATTACCGTCTATCCAATACATTATTTTATTTTACAGTTATTTTAATAGATAATAATAAAACATTACCAGGTCTCTTCTTAATTGAAAATAAAATTGACTACAGTGCGTTGGTTTTGCAAAAAAGCTTCGCGCGCGAACTGATTTTACAAAATTCAATCTAACAGACTGTATCATTTTAAAACGTTTGCTCTCACAAGCGAATTTATTCGCGTGACTCAAATATGACCTTCGTTATAATGAACTTTCGATATACGAACATTTTGGTCCAGCTCGACGGCTTCATTTTATCGAGAGTGACTTTGTATTATGAGAACGAAATGAATTATGCAAATATTTGTTCCGCATAGTGGTTCGATCAGTTGATTAAAATCTAAGCTGTTGATATCTCGTTGACTGATTACGAGATAGCGATTTGTTAGTTGATTGTATGCGTTTATTACGCTTTATTAGTACGATGAACGGTTAGGTGCATATCGTTGGTAAATAATAAAAGTCATACCGTTGTATTGTATAATGTATGTGTATATTTCCTATGTAACCACCAAGATTTTGGTACCATTTTGAAACTAATTTGATTGTATTTTTGAAAAGAATGGTGTGGAGTTAAAGTAGTTACTGTAATAAGGTAGTTTGATGAAAGTAACGGCCACATAATCACTGTCTGAAAATACAACGTTTTACTGTACTAGTAAAATTTCGTCTTACTTATGAATTGCCCCAGGATCACCATCAAAAATTTACGGACACATGACTGCAGTGGGTGAAATTATGGAAGCAAAATTTAATTTTTACTAAATTTATGTTAAACTCAAATCTTACATATATAAATAATCACGTGTCCGTAAATTTTTGATGGGAAAAATCTTACTTATTATTATGATATTGGTCACGTGTAACAGCAAAAAAAAAACTTGCCAACTTTTTTTTACATCCTCGCAATTATTGATGATGGACATATTCTTGCTTGAATAGAACGATACGCTTGTCTCAGTAAGTGTTGATAATATCATGCTATTTAACCGGTCGGATGCTGATGATATAGATGTCGCCCCAGTCTGAGATTATGACGATAGACATGCGTAAGCCAAACGCACATATACTGATTCTAGTTGGAAAATATTATACAGAGTTTGCTAACGTCTGCCTAACAAGGATACTAACTATACAATTTTGCAAATAACTTGTGAACAGCTTATTGAACAAGTGAATTCTGTCGGGTGATGGGATGAATTTGGAAATAAGAAGGGACGTTAAACGTAGGAAACTTTCAATGGGTCAATGTTCACATTTATGACGCATACATGAGGCATCAACAGGGGCTAATCAGTGCTCACGAGAAGAAAATGACTGTCATGGCAAATTCTCCAAACGAAACAGATGTAAAAATATTGTTCCATAGGTTATTCTTGGGGAAGAAGGGGACTAACATGTAAAACGCTTGCCAAACAGTATGTGTGTTAGCTGATACTGTCGATTAATTTACCGCTACTCGAATTTTTTAACTGCATAAAAGTTTAACGTTAGTACCATTAGACGTTAGCCAGAATGCTAAAGACTGTGATATGGCTTTTTCTAAATTGTGTTGCTAACGGATTTCTCTTACGCAGAGTATGATCCAAATGATGACATGCAGATATTTGAGGACTATAGTTTATCAGCCATTAAGCCTCCTTCTTTCTGAGCATAGTAGTTTCCTTCTCAATATTATCTGCAAAACCTACTGTCTACTTTTCCTTCTAACGTATTAAAGCAGTCCTTGGTGTTGATAGAGGCGATCGGTTATAACTTACTTTATATCGCATGTTGTATATAATTATGAAAGAATACATCATTATTGGCATGTGTTTTGAGGAGAGCTCTTGATTAAGTTTTCAATAGAATTACTTATCAACTACTACCTATGTTGACGTGACAAAGCTGATTGCCCACGAGCGCGCATTATACGCATCTCTTGAAAATGTTTGTCATTCTCATCGCGAATACATTATAAATGAGGATAGAAGTCGGTTAGGATAAACATCCACCTCGCAGGGTCAAACGATCTGTGACTTAATTATAATCTCTGTTTGGCATATCGACGTATGTGATAGATAAAACGGAAAAGATCAAAGAGGAATAGCAGATTTTGTTCAGCATCGGCCAACGGAAGATTCAATGGGCATAGAAGAGTCTAAATATCGACAAACATGCTTGCTCCACTGACGAGAACGTTTCATTCCAAAATATTATTGTCATGAACCATATTGAAAGAACTTTTTCTAAAAATGTAAAGACAATTTACAAGACAAAATCTAATAAATTTAATCGCGCTTGAATGTCAAACATCTTATCCATCGTCGTTTGCTTCACTACACTCGTTGACTTGAAGCTTAACACTTTTAGTAGCTCTTTAGAGTTTCGTTGTTGTTGCTGGAATAAATGAACAATCTCTTACGTATTATGGTGTAGTTGAATTAACTATCAGTGGCTTAACACTATCTATATCGTCAATATCACGGGCGTCTGACATGTTTCTTCAAACCGATAGTAATAAGTTATTGTTGGGCAATCTTAAAAATTAGATCATACCGAGTGATAGATTACCAATTGTCTCGTTTGTTCTTCGATAAGAATTACATTTAATAATCTTTGTACAGAATAATGATACGATTGTGTGACACCGTTCCAAAAATATAAAAAGGCTAATAGGCCCTTTGGATCCAGACAAACAATATTCAGGTCCACTAACGGAATTTTTTTTGTCATGGAAAAATTGGTCACGGTTTTTCATTTTTATTTCCAGTACAGAACCAAGATATTCAGAGTTATGGGCGGTCTGCAATTCGGTTGTAATAATTAAAATAAAGACATTTTACATTTGTTGGTTACATACATAACATTATCTATTGTATTTTGCATTGAGGGAGGAGCTGGGTCTATCGCTATCGCATTTTTGTAATCGCTCCTGCTAAAAACAGATGTAGAGTTTCCGATCCTTTCGATTCCCTTATTTTTCATATATTATATTGACTATAAATGAGTAGTCTTATTCTTGGAAATACACGTTTTAGTTTGACATTCCATTTACTGAAATCATTTGATATAATTTAAATTGTTGAACCACTAATTATAATCTCTATTACTATGTCTGGATCTGATCTGAGGTACTGTAGGTCCAAACTTGGACACAACAGGTCGTAATGAATTCGCATAATAGTAACAGGGTTTATAAAGTGAATCAGCTCCTTAATTCAGTTGGTCTTTCTCTTTTTCCATTTTAATCATACTCCGCAGATTCTCTATATATCATACTCATTGTGTGATTAATACTTGGTACGAGTTAACTTTCCATCAATAGAAATACTTTGCACTTCATTGTGTGGTACTGTGGTACTAATTCTAATTCTGCGGTAAAAAAATTTACTGCGTAACGTCACATTCCGACTATGCTCCCATATTGTAGTATTAGACAATACAATGCGAATTGACATACACGTATTTTCTGTGTTTTTTTATCATTTAACACAGCCAGCCCATCTGTATCTCCCTGTTTCATATATTTCTCACTCGCAGCATGTAACTAAAATTTACCTATCTTTTAATGCATTTCCATGCATCAAAATGATCGTTCATGGATACCGAAAAAGCGGTATCATATGGTCATCCTCTTAAGGGGTTGTCTCTACATATTATATATTGCAGCCCGTTTGCAAAGTCTGGTCTACGGTGACTTTAAAGTTCTGCAGCATTTCCTGTGAATGCTTTAACTGCTGTCAAACCTGCACATCCGAGTTCTCAAATCAACGTTTTTTTTGATCACCCATCTTAAATCTATATTTTAAAAGTGACTTACTATATTCGTCATTTACTTCGGAGATCTGACTATAAATACCGGTGAGCTGTTCAAGCGTTTATCAGATATCCGGTCCTTTTCAATTTTTGCGTTCTTTCCCGCGTCTCTGACAGTATGTCTTACTTGACAAGAGATCAACTCAGTGAGTGGCAAGTTGATGTAATACAGCTAATTGAGGAAGAAGATGGTATTAATGCGACCAATACTATTCCGTAGATGAATACTTGAAAACACTTAGTATTAATGCGCCAAAGAAGTTAAATGCACAAGTATCCCCTCAAGTAGACATAAATGCTCAACCTAAACGGCATTCTCTGCCTGGCTTAAATTTGCGTGAAGTCGTAAAGGAGATTGTAGTCACTGATAGGCAATTGGGTGTAACTTCGAACGACACCGACACGAAAAC